TATATATATATATTTATGATATATATATATATTATAGTATGTAGTAAGTATATATATATATATTTATGATATATATATATATATATTATAGTATATAGTAAGTATATATATATATTTATGATATATATATATATATTATAGTATATAGTAAGTATATATATATATTTATGATATATATATATATTATAGTATGTAGTAAGTATATATATATATATTTATGATATATATATATATATATTATAGTATATAGTAAGTATATATATATATTTATGATATATATATATATTATAGTATGTAGTAAATATATATATATTTATGTATATTTATATCTGTGTGTTCTCCTGCAGGTCTGACTCGCTGTCAGAGAGCTCAGGCTCACACGCTGCTCTCTGGTTGGATGAAAGGATCTGACATCATCAACAAGTCACCTCACCGACCGGAGTGTGACGAGGTAGGAACACGCACACACACACACACACACACACACACACACACACACACACACACACAGAGACACACACACACACACAGAGACACACACACACACACACACACACACTAGGGCAGATAGCATGTTTTTCTGGTAATTCACTAAATAAATAAATTGTGTGTGTGTGTGTCTCTGTGTGTGTGTGCGTGTGTGTGTGTGTGTGTGTGTGTCTCTGTGTGTGTGTGTGTGTGTGTGTGTGTGTGTGTCTCAGGACGGTGGTTTCTCGGTGCTGCAGACAGGTGGCGCTGCAGGCTGGTGTGTGAACCGTGTGACTGGAGAGACGATACAGACGGCGACACCGAGCCCTGCGGGACAGCTGACATGTACACACACACACACACACACACACACACACAGAGCCTTCAGTGGTGTGTTCGCTGTCACCCTTCAGTCTGTAAACTTGTAAACTGTGTGTGTGGTGTGTTCAGGTCCCAGCTGGTGTGAGCTGCGGGGCCTCCAGTGTCGCCCCGACGGCTCCTTCATCCCGCTGCAGTGTGACGTCACTTCCTGTTGGTGCGTCTCCGAGGCCGGGCAGGAAGTGGGCGGGACCCGAACGCCCCGACAGACGGGCCGGATGCCGTCATGTGACCGTGAGTGAAACCAGTTCAGTGGACGTGGGAGGAGCCTGCGGCTCAGAGGAGGCTGCTGATTGGTCGGTTGGTTTTGTGTCTCCTCTCCAGACCCTCTCTGTCCCGACTCCACCGTTACCCATGGTGCACTGGTGTGCCGCCCGGCGGACGCCGACGGTCGCCTCAGCTGCGACCTCGTCTGTCACCGTGGTTACAAGAACTCACTTCCTGTCAGAAGCTTCCTGTGCCGGACAGAGAGCCGGCAATGGGACGGAGACGAGGGGCCGCTGGGAGGAGCCTGTCAGAGTAAGAGCTCCTTAAAGGAGCATACCGCCTCTAAACCGTCTCACTGACCATCTCCTTAATCAACCAGCTGTGTGTGTGTGTGTGTGTGTGTGTGCCTCTGTGTGTGTGTGTGTGTGTGTGTGTGTGTGTGTGTGTGTGTAGTCTCTCAGCCTCTCCAGATGGTGTCGTCCTCTCAGCTCTGGTCATTGTCGTCGTCCTGCTCTCAGATCAGCGGTTTAAAATCTCTGTTGTTCACCACGATGACCAGCAGGGGGCTCTGCTCTGCTCAGGTGAGCTCTGAACCCTCTTATAATGAACACACAGATCAATAACCATAATCATCCAGATCTCACATGAGTTATGTGACAGCGAGTCAGAATGTATACAGTAAGGCATTATTTAAGAAATAGCACCATGTTCATATATTATTATTATTATTATTAATATTTTCATCACAAATGATTTATTAATTTAAACACATTTAGATTATTTAACTTTACAAACAACGACCATGATGTCATAATAAATAAACAAACATTTACAAACTAAAAAATAACTGGATTTAATATCCGATATTGAGTTTTTAATCTGCATCAAAATGCGGAGCAGAGCTGCTGAAAAATAGTTTCACAAAGTCAACAGATAATCAGAACAAAATAAGCTTAAAGTTAAAGGAACAGTGTGAAACATATATCGGCAGAAATAGAATATAATATGAACAACTATGTTTTTATAAGTGTACAATAACCTGAAACTGAGAATCATTATTGTTTTATTTAGCTTAGACAAAGCTGGTGTTACTATATACGTTTTTAAACGCAAACATTTAGTCCTGAAAAAGAACAAGAGCAGCTCCTTGTAGAAACAAAACCTCAAAGGTAACTAACTCTCGACCTGAAGCCCACCGTAGTTCTATTATTTGGTTGGCTGCAGTCTGAAAACTCACCACTAGATGTCACTAAATCTTACACAGTGTTCCTTTAAAGTGACGGAAATGTTCCCAGAAGTAACATAAAAAACAACGTGTGTGTGTGTGTGTGTGTGTGTGTGTGTGTGTGTGAGTGAGTGTGTAGCTTCCCGTGTCCGGTCGCTCCGTGTCTCTGTGTGACGACTCGTCGGTGCATCTGATGTGTGACGATGACGACACGCTGAAGTTCACCGTCACCTGGACCGCCCACCTGTCCGACCTCCCGACCTCTGACCTCCCAGACCTCCACGACATCGGTGAGCACAGACAGACGTGTTTCAGACGGACGTGTTTCAGACGGACGTGATTCAGACGGACGTGTTTCAGACGGACGTGATTCAGACGGACGTGATTCAGACGGACGTGTTTCAGACGGACGTGATTCAGACGGACGTGATTCAGACGGACGTGATTCAGACGGACGTGATTCAGACAGACGGGTTTCAGACAGTAGGAGAGTTCTTCACAGGTAGAATGTAGGGGTTCCCAATCTGAGGCTCGGGACCCCCAAGATGGTCTCGAGATCAATCTAAGGGGCCACAAGACAAGAAAAAACATATTTTTGTCACCCACTGTTTTAATTATGTTTCCTTTTTGAAAGGTTTGGAGAGTTTACTGTCAGATAAATGTGATCAGATGTTAATGAACCATTAAATATATAAATAAAGGTTTGTTTGTTTAAAACCTTCTGAATCTGGATTCTTATGTGTTTTTGTGTTTTTTCCATCAGGTCTGTTCCTGAATGAGTCCAGACTCCTGGAGGGCGTTCAGGGACTTCTGGGTAATATTAAAATCCGCTCCGTGCTTTCGTCAGAGCCCAAACTTGTTTCCGTGACGACAGCGAGCTTCGGGTGTTCCCATGGTTACCACCTGGACAGCGACGGTGAAGGCTGCGGTAAGTCGTGCGTCTGACGGTCGTTCATCGTTTTCTGGTCCAGGACTCAGGTTTTTGTCTCCGTCTCTGTTCCCACAGTCGTCTGTCCCGCTGGGAGTTACTCCAAGGAGGGGGCGTGTCTTCTGTGTCCTCAGGGAACCTATCAGGATGAAGAGGGGCGGGACTTCTGCGACAGGTGTCCCAGAGGCTCCTCCCCTAGCGGAGCGTCATCCGTCAATCAATGTGAGTCCTCAGTGTGAACATGAAGCGGAGCAGAGGAGGTGAACCACAGGTGTTCAACGTGTGTGTGTGTGTCTATCTGTGTGTGTGTGTGTTTACCTGTGTGTGTGTGTGTGTGTGTGTGTTTACCTGTGTGTGTGTGTGTTTACCTGTGTGTGTTTACCTGTGTGTGTTTGCGCGTGTGTGTGTGTGTGTGTGTGCGTGTTTGCATGTGTGTGTGTGTGTGTTTACCTGTGTGTGTGTGTGTGTGTGCGTGTGTGTGTGTGTGTTTACCTGTGTGTGTGCGTGTGTGTGTGTTTACCTGTGTGTGTTTACCTGTTGTGTCAGGTGTGACCGAGTGCCAGAGGCGGGGCCTGCAGTGTTCAGAGCGAGGCGACTTCCTGTCAGCGCAGCCTGACTTCCTGTCCGGCAGGTGGAGGTGTTTCGACAGCAAGGGGGCGGAGCTTGAGTGGACCAACAGTGACACGCCTCTGACTGATGACCAGTGCTCAGGTGGAGTCTCGGCAGCCAATCAGAGAACAGTTTAAATTTATGTGTTCATTGTGAAGCCCTTTGTGACATACGTGTGTGTGTGTTTGTACGTGTGTGTGTGTGTGTGTGTGTGTATGTGTGTGTGTGTGTGTGTGTGTGTTGTAGTTCTCAGCAGGTTTCAGGCTGTTCCTGGATCAGATCTGATTGTCGGAGCTGAAGACACTGAAGTCCTGCAAACAATGACCTCTGACCTCACATCCTGTGTCCAAGGTGAGTCTCACACACACATTGTGAATGCCATTATGGTCTGTATATGTGTGTGTGTGTTGACTGCTCGTCTCTCTCTCTCAGCGTGTGCAGTGGAGCCGTCCTGCCACCATGTGGCGCTGTTCAACCAGCAGACTCAGTGTGAACTGTACAGCACACACACACTGAACACACACTGCAACACCTCCCAGCAGGTACACACACACACACACACTGAACACCTCCCAGCAGGTACACACACACACACACAGATGAGAGTGACATTGACAGCTTTCCCAGTAAATTAACGGACATGAACTGACGACTCCCAGGGTGCATTTCACTCACAAACAGCCAATCACAGAGCTCCGTGTGTCTGTTGTGAGCCGAAGTTCATAATCATTAATCTTCTAGCGACTCATCCACTGATTCAACTTTTTATTTTATTCCCTCAGACCAGCGGGTTTCTGGGTAATCCTCAGGCCGAGCTCTTTGATTGGCTGAGCTGCTCTCTGAGAGTGAGGGGCGGAGCTTCAGACCTGCTGGTCATCAGGAAGAAAGGTACTGTAACCACGGCAACCAGACGACGGGACATCCACAAGACAACAAAACACACTTCTGTAACTGTGTGTGTGTGTGTGTGTGTGTGTGTGTGTGTGTGTGTGTGTGTCTCAGGTGTGGAGTTCTCCTCTCGTCAGCAGCAGAGCTTTGAGAGGATGATGATGATGAAGGTGGTCTCAGGTGTGTTCAGGACTCAGGTGTTCTCCTCCAGAGGAACCTCTCTCTCTGATGCTCACCGTTTCTGTCAGGATGGCTGCAGCCGCGACACCTGCTGTGACGGGTTCATCCTCAACCAGAACATCCTGAACGGAGGTGTGTTCATACCATGGAGACGCACAACACCTGGTGAATGGATGAAATCAATAATCTGACCTCCTCTTCCTCCTCCTCTCAGGGTCTCTGCTCTGTGGTTGGCTGAGAGCTCCGTCAGTCTTGATGTGTGGGGACCAGGACTGGGATGTGATTGGACAGGGAACAGCCAATCGCATCTGTGGGGCGGGGCTAACCTACAACGAGCAGCAGAGGAGCTTCGTGTTTGACTTCGGAGGACAAAAGTTCACCATCAGTAAGAACTACAAAACTGCGAATCAGCCAATGGGAGGACTGTTACTGCCTCGTATCTCTGGTGGACTTCCCAGACACGCCGCAAAGCTTCATGTGTTAAAGCTGCATTCTCTCTAGTGTCCACCAGG